ACCATACTCGACTAATTTTTGTATTTTTCGTAGAGAGAGGGTTTCACCATGTTGGCCAGGCTGGTCTTGACCTCCTGGCCTCAGGTGATCCACCCGCCTCAGCCTCCCAAAGTGCTGGGATTACAAGCGGGAGCCACCTGTTTTCTTTCATCACTGAGTAACATTCCATTGCACAGATGTTACCATAGTTTGTTTCTTTATTCACCTATTGAAAGGCTGATCTTGAGCCTGGTGTGATGCCTCATCCCTGAGTTCCCAGCACGTGGGAGACTGAGGTGAGAAGATTGCTTGAGGCCGGGTAGTTAGAGACCAGCCTGGTAGATACAGTGTGAGACCTTGTCTATTTATTTATTTATTTTTTTAAAGAATCACCTTGTTTGATTCTAGTTTTTGGTAGTTATGAGTAAGGCTGCTAAAAGCGTTTGTGGGAGGACTTTCGTGTGGACATCAGTTTTCAGTTCATTTAGGTCAATATGTAGGAGTGAGACTACTGAATCAGTAAGACCACGCTTATTTTCTTCAGAGCTCCGCAGACTGTCTTCCAAATCGGCTGTAGAATTTTCCATTCACATCCATAGTGAAGGAGAGTTCACTGTCATTGGCATTAGGAAATGTCAGTGTTTTGGATTTTAGCTACTCCACCAGGTATTTGTTGGTGCTTCGTTGTTTTGTTCCTGTCTTTTTTTTTTTTTTATTCCTTTGGAGACGGAGTTTCATTCATGTTGCCCAGACCGGAGTACAATGGCGCAATATCAGCTCACTGCAGCCTTTGCCTCCCGGGTTTAAGTGATTCTCCTGACTCAGACTCCTGAGTAGCTGGGATTACAGGTGTACGCCACCACACATGGCCGCTGTTTGTGTTATTAGTAGAGACGGTTTCACCATGTTGGCCAGGCTGGTCTCAAACTTTTGACCTCAGGTGATCCAGCCACCTCAGCTCCCCAAAGGGCTGGATTATAGGCGTGAGCCATTGCGCCTGGCCTGTTTTCATTTGCTCTTTAATAACGTGTAATGTAGAGCATCCTGTCATGTGTTTGTTTGCCATAATTACATTCTTTAGGGGGAGATATATTTGGAAAGATTGGGCTTTTTTTTTTTTTTTTTTTTTTTGAGACTGAGTCTGGCTCTGTCACCCAGTCTGGAGAACAGTGGCGCGATCTCAGCTCACTGCAACCTCTGTCTCCCAGGTCCCAGCGATTCTCCTGCCTTAGCCTCCTGAGTAGCTGGGACTACAGGTGCCCGCCACTATACCCGGCTAATTTTTTTTTGTACTTTTAGTAGAGACGGGGTTTCATTGTGTTAGCCAGGACGGTCTCGATCTCCTGACCTTGTGATCCACCCATCTCGGCCTCCCTAAGTGCTGGGATTATAGGCCACTGCACCCTGCCCCCAGCTAATTTTTGTATTTTTACTAGAGACAGAGTTTCACCATGTTAGTCAGGTTGGTCTCAAACTCCTGACCTCGGTAATCTATCCATCTCTGCCTCCTAAAGTGCTGCGATTACAGGTGTGAGCCACCGCCCCTGACCTTTTGCTTATTTTTTGATTGGTTGGTTTTTTTCTTATTGAATTTTAGGAGTCCTTCATACCTTTTGGATACCAGTTCTTGATCAGATAGGTGTTCTGCAAATATTTTGTCCCAGTCGGCCGCCTGTCTTTTTATTCTGTTAACAGAGTCTTTTCCAAAACGTTTTTGTTTTGAATGAAGTCCAATTTATCGATTTTCTCATTCGCATATCATGCTTTTTGTGTTGTGTGTGAAACCTTATTGGCAAATCCAAGGTTGTCTTGGTTTTCACAAGCGTTATGTTCTAGAAGTTGTGAGGTTTGCATTTTCCATTTAAGTAAACGATTCAATAGGAAGTAGTTTTGTAAAAGGTGCAGTTCTGTGTCTAATTCATTTCTTTGCATTTGCTAATTCAGGTGTTTCAATACCGTTTGTCTTGTGCCACCATGCCTAGTGTTTTACTTTGTTATGGAGACGGGGTCTCCTTATGTTGCCCAG